GACCCCATGTCCGGCAGTCGTAATTGCGACCACTCGGCCAACGAGGCAGTCTCGATAGTTACTATTGAACAAATTACAGTTTTTCTGGTACAAGACTAATAGAAACATAACAAACGCGATATACAGTAACGTAAACACATGAGACGGCATAAAACAGTCCTACAAACCAAAATATATGCAAATTAAATTATTGTTCTCTCTCGAAAGTTTACACGTAAAATCAAGGTTGTTAGACCAAGACTTTATCAAGGAATGCGAGTAGTTTGTAGGCAATTAAACTGAGTAATTAATTTATTTTTAGTGCTTTATATCATTTTATACTGAACTCTTAGAAATAAGAAAGCTGGATGATTATTGAAGCTATTGTTTGGTAGATAAATGAGAAACGTAAGGAAACGTATATATCCAGTTTATGTGTGAGAATTTCACTTTTAGTAAGCAGCCCAGAGATAATAATTAAATTAATGATGACGTCTAAAAACGGGCCTTGGAAGAAGAGTCAAACTCAGTCTAAGTTAATCTCAGATAAGTATAAGTTATGAACACAAGTGAAGCAACATTTTGGAAGATGTTTAACCCAAAAAACGCTTAGATAACAAGAAACATCAATGATAGAGTTGTAGGTACTGTATTAAAGTTTAAAAATTATGAAAAGGATGCTATGTCTACTCTTGAGCTAAAAAAACAATAAGCAATGGACTTCTTGCAAAGTTTGCTTTTAAAATTAAAGATAAAGATCAAATCAAAATTAGAGCGAACAAATAAACAAGGGCAGAAGCCTCATTAAACGAAACAAATAACAAATCAAACACAAATGATTACCCGAAACAAATCGTGACCACACACATCAAATAACTGTTACGTCTAATTACCGAACAAGTTAAAAACAAACAGTTAATAATATAGTTAAATGAAGCGAGCAGTGAATGTAAGTGAAGCCAAGGCTAAAAATTATAGCACACGGAAGGCTGTATGAGGAAGCGTGAATTGAAATGTGTAGGTATGTTGTGGATAAAGGTCGCATCGAAGCGCATTTTTGAAGTGTGCCTAAATGCTTTTGGTATCAAACATGAATGGTTCTTTTTTATTACAGTTGAAAATACGTAGTATTTTAGTTAGTGTAGTTTCGTCGTGTCAAATAATGAATGGTTACAAGCGCCATCGTGGAGCGAGTTGAGTTTAACATACAGATTTAGAAAATTTTATAACATTAATATACAAGCTTCCATGAAACTGTCAAATATTATATTTCAGTGATTAGCAAAATACGGAGTCACGGGGAACTTAACGGATTGCCGGGGCTCCGGCTCGAACAGCAGGAGTAGGAACGGGGTGGTTTCCTCACGCAGGCGGCAGAAATCATTGAATATTTTTCCCCCTCAAAAAAAAAAAATGATTAGCTGAAAGTTTTTTTCCCCTTCTGTCCTTGGAACTTAATTGGAACAATGTTGGCGAAAATTATATCAGATCTGGAAACGTCCGATCGATCCACATAATTATAGACACGATACGAAAAATAATAATCAAAGACGTATATTCGTAGTAAGGTCGAAGACTGCAGAAAAGTCTAGAAAATCAGGTTTCAAAGATCAAGTGCAACCCGCTGCGTAACTAAGCAGTCGAGCGGTATATAAAGCGTGGTACCGTTCTAAAGACAATCTGTCAAGTTTAGATCACAATATTATCACCGCTATAATGGGGAGCTGTGGTCATAACAATATTATAAAGCTTTGGATTCGCATGCCATAGAATATTATTATCAGGCCTGTTATTGGGTATAGGTTAGAAGGAAGGAATATAATCATACTTGAGAGTAAAGAAATGGAGTCGGAAGGATTTTTTTTTTTATTTTTGCCCCACTCTAGGATTTTCTCCTGTCGTGGGTGCGTTTACAAACATAAAATTTCACATACACATGACACCCAGACCCAGAACAACAATCTGTGGATTACACGAAGAGTTGTTACGTGCGGGAATAGATCCAATGTCAAGTCAACCACTTGAACTACATACATATAAGCAAACCAAAAAGTTACACTGTCAAGTCATTCAGTCTAGAATTTTAGATTATAGAAATCAAAATCTAGGTCGAATGCGGAACAGATAATTTGCACTATTCTATGAATGGAAGGTTCTTGAGTTATAATTTGTGTCTATAAGTTAGCAGTGTAAGTGAGATAGCTTACAATTGTTACAAGTCCAAGATCTTATACAGGGTCTAGAAAGTAGGTTGTTTGGAATGATTGCTGGGATTGTTAAATCGGGAGGTGTTTTCGTAATTGAAATTCTATTATTATTTGGCATTAAATAACGATGACAGTTTTACCTATAAATATAATTTGTAACAGACTGAATTATCACCTTCATTTAACTACTGATTTCAAAAACGCCAATTAAAGTAAAGGTAAAGGACAGAGAAAAGAAGAAAAATAAACCCGACAACTTGATATTAGATCACAAATATTCCGTAACGGAAAATATACCCAAGTATTAGTCGAAGATCTTCAAACAAAATGAGTAAGACAGCAAAGTTTATAATAAAAGCATTAATATTGAAAAAGTGTAAATCTACATAGCCAAGGTACAAAATGATATAGAACTTGAACATCTACTAAATAAAGTAATGACAAGTAAAGACTATATCATTGCATGACATAGGCCTGCGGCTAACCAAGATGTAATTGCGGTTGCTTGAGCCTTTACAGCATTTAAATCAATCAAATATGTAATTGCAGAATTATTTTCTAGATTAATAAACTTGTATTCTCACGTTATAGGTAATGCATTCATCAGAATTGATTATTATGCTCACGCAGGCTAGTTTATCGATATGAATTTTAATCATCCGTTTCTTAATTTAAAAATAGTCGATCTATTTACAAGAACGTGTAGATTGTGGGATATGAAACGGAGATAAATCACGATATTTTGAAAACTTTTAATCAATAAAATTGGGTCAATAAATAACTTATTGGGATCTTATTTTATTCGTTAATTACATCAAAATAATAACACCTTGAATAACTATCTTTACACATAATCGAAACAATTAGAAATGGTGAAGAGAAAATTAGATGTATCATGCCATATGAACTGAGACTTTACCATTCAACAGTTACTGTTGTTATTTTTATCATAATGAACATCCACGTACCTACGAAGATCACGCTATCATGATCATTGAAATAGATATAAATGATAATAATAAAATCTATCTACACGAACTCCATAAACTTAACACTATAAAAGAGACAATAGCATCAGTATGATGATCATCAACAATTTTTCCTCACTTTCTATACATTCAATAGAATCGTTTAGAAAACTAGAAGTCACACTTCCGACATAGTTACCGCTAGACGTGAGACCTTAGCTATAGGAAACGACAATTTAACATTAATTAATACGAGGAAAGCGGAAGACGATCTCGATGTGATTATAGCAATGGAAATCGATGCAGATGATAAAACTATACATTTGTATCGAAAATGAGTGGAGCAGTAGTTTAATGTTGACGGTAATTATGGAATTATTGCTCTATTAAACGATTTATTTATATATATGTATACCTACAAGACCCCACTGACAAACGGTGAAGGAAAACATCGCGAGGAAACCTGGGATTATAATTTCTAATTATAAGTTTGAAATTGTCAACCTGCATTAAGTAAGCGTAGTGATTAACCCGTCGTGTGTCTAAACGTGGATCTACGCGAGACACAGACTACTGTTTGTTTGTTTGTTTGTTTGTTTATTGTGTATTGCCTACTAGAAATGTACTAAAATGTACAAACTTCAAGGACAAGTAAAGAAAGAAATATGAAATAACGCTAACGTTTTTTAAGTGACGTATGGGCAAGTCCCTTAACGTCGGATGGCAACTAACGCTGGACTCCTGCATTATCTCGATAGCTAATAACGCGAGCAATTCAATTTTTAGGGGGAAGTCTCCAACTGGCAGACTCCTAAGATTTTTAGTAAAAATTGAATCGCTCGTGTTATCTGTTATCGAGATAATACAATTATCCTGCGTTAGGTGCCGTCCGGCGTTACGAGACTTTCCCCTATATCATCACAGAGGGGTTCTTCCTCATGCCTATTCCTAGCCTATTCCTTTTCTCAGTATATGCACGTGAGTAACCCGCGATTTAAGTTAATTTAGTATGTCTCACAATAGTTATTGTAAAAAACTTCACTTCATTTTGTTAATTTTCCACGCAATACTACATTGCGTGGAAAAACAATTTTCCCCGTTATGACAGCAAGATAAATTATTTGTGTAGTACAAGCTATTATAACTTGATTTACGGTAAATGTTATATTTTATGGCAAGTTATTTGGACAACAGCCTCTAACCTATGTCAACTTTTACGATTAGCGAAAGTGAAACTAATGTTCTTACACCGGGGCTATCCCACGAGGATGACTCTCAGAGTTTTCATGATTAATGTCAACAAAACATTATTTAGCGACAACAATTTTCAAACAAATCGTTTTAATAGTAAAACGCAAAGGCCTTTGAAGATAATTAAATGAAGGCAATATATCATGGCTAGGTATTGTTCTTATGGGTAATCCAAAGCGAAAAGCTCGATTGTTCACAAATTAGATATGAGCTATCACAACGAGTTTTCCAACAATTACATCACACGATGTCTTACAATGACAATTGTTGTCGTACAAAAGCCTTTGGAGCAAGACATGGCAACGTCCGTTCATAATTCTCAATGGTAATTACAACTGCCAATTGTTTATCCATTTATTCCTTCACCCTTCCATTGTTCATGACAATCAACCATGAAGGCTCATATCGAACATTTTCACAAACTCCATTTAAAAATAAACATTTTAATAAACTAGAATACGACGTGCTTGCGTGTTATACTTTCGAATACATTTAGTTGTGACCTCTAAAATCAGTACGTGTATAACGAGGTAGCAGTCGACATAAAAACAGAGCAAACTGAAATTAAAAAAGTAAGACAATCACAAAAAATTACCTTTGTCGTGTTCTGCATTTGCAAAAACGTTGCTATGCCCGCCCGTACGCGGTTCTTCACGCCCCTTATTGTTCCTTTCGAACTTTTTATTGTTGATGGCATCTCCTCGTTTTTATAATCCTTTACACCGGCGAAGTATTCCACTTCAGACACTTCACATTCACTTTTAGCACCAACACTAACACTTTTCACATCATCGAATTGTTTTTCGTTCAAATGGAAATCGTAAAACTTGTCCGTATCAAAGTAATGGCTGCTGTAAAACATTTGCTCTTGTTTCATTTTATCCTGTTGCTTTCGTTCCTCGTATGTGCTCTCACTAATCAGTGGCGTTTTGGAACACAAGTTTGCGGGCAGCGACTCCGTCGTGTTCTTACACTCGTTATTAAACTGAGAAACTAGACGGAACGATGTGAGTTGTGCGCTTTCTTTTGAAATATTAGCATCCTCATTAATATTCTGGTTCGCTTCCTCGTGTGGCTCGGGCTTCGGCTCGCTTTCAGTTTCGACCGTATTTAGTTTCGCTGAACGGTCTCTTATGTCTTGCAGCAGACCCTGCGGTAGAAAGCTAGTGTCTTTATTGTTCGCTTTGGCGAACGTCTCCGGCGCGTCGGGTGATTCCGCACTCTGTTTCTTTTCTTTTTTACTATATTCGCTATGACTTTCATCAGCGTGCACGCTTACGTTCAGCTCGCTACTGTTCAGAGAGTCGCATGATATATTTGAATCGTTGTCTTCAAAATCTACTTCACTTTGACTACTCCCATTTCTCGAACTGATAAGCGTTACAGATACTGCTTTCTTTATTGAACTAGTTTTGGAAGTCTTCTTTTTAGGTAGAGGTGGTGGAGTGCCGTCAAGGTCGCTGCAGGTTCCGGAGTCCAAGGTATCACTGGGAGAGCACTGCCCGCTTGACATAACCATGTTGGTCATCGAGTTGACAAACGAATTACAGTAAATGTATGGCGCTTTATCTGTTTTCAGAATTTCTTCGTTTTCTATAATTTTCGGTCTATTTTCGTCAACGTTGAGTCTCACTAGGCTGTTGTTTTTCTTGCAAACGTCGTTTAACTTGAATGATTCGAAGTCAACGTCGCTTTTGAGATGTACGCTTGATATTTTTGGTGCTTTAGGTTTGTCAGCGTCGGTGTTTATTCTGATAGTGACCACGTGTGGACCGTTGAGAGCGTCCGTGCTAGGCGTACTCGCGGGTCGATCTGACTGGGTCGCCGCTACGAATACCGTTGCAGATGGTGTCTTAGAATTAAGGACGAGTGAGTGCATCGAACTTAGCGAGTCCATCCGGACGTCGGTAGCGGTGAACCCGTTTGTATTCATTGTAGCTTCGTTATTAGTTATTTGTGTATAAGTGGTCGATCCTCTTTGCTTCACCTTTGGGGGTAAAGGAGGGATGTATTCGACACTGGGACGAGGCGTAACTTCTTCCATCATTGTGGTTGCTAATAGTTTGGCATAATTAACGGTGCTTCCCGTTCGCAATGCTGGTCAGGTCCGCTCAGATAGTGATGGATGTATAAGGCATAATGGTTCCGGTGACCGTTCGTGACTAGGTCAATAATCCGCTCGAGTGGCCTGTTTTTCTTGCACGTTGTTTATTTACATCTGGAAAGAGAAAAATGCAATATTAGTACAAGAACTTGAATTCTCCATTAGAGCTACAAGTTATGCGTTCTAGATAACTTTGACGTGAGTCGTATCGATACGTGTGTACCTTTCAATGCGATAAGGGAACATAGGTATATATTTCTTTAGGGTTACTGATACTTCATAGCATGAGTACAGCCTGCCTCGTTAGCAAGTGATCTAAAGTTTAATTGATAAGTCAATGACCAGGTAACTAGAGTTAGAAAGAACTTTTTAAGTTTTTTTCGTAAATGACAATTGTCAATGAAAAACGGTGCATTGTCATATAGGTTGCTAGTTTTATTAATATAATTTAGATTTTATATTTATTTGTAATATTGTGGACATGGTTATTTATGTTGGAAGTCACGTACAAAAGATAAAAATACACCTATTTACCCACAAACACAACTTATGCTCTTTCAATAAATTCAAAGAACAAATTAACACAACGTCTTACATAATGTTCCAATAAATAACATGTAGTAATTTAAACCTAAAAACATTACAATATTTCTATATAATTACACCTTATTTTAAACATGTGAAGGTTTAATTTTGAGAATCGTTACCAATCTATAAAGGGAAGTGCAATCGTAATAAAATCAAGATGGAAGATCCCACGTTATAAATATTTTAATATTAATGATTTCCTAATACATATAAAGCGAATAATTTTCCCTATAATGAGAGTATAGAATTATATTATAATTCACATCTTTAATAGTGTAAAAGTAATCACTTTGTTATGCAATCGAAATGCTTATATTTGAATTATAAGTTGTTGTAATTATATGTTTAATTTCCGTTTCGTAATATTTTAATTTATACATAATATCACGTTTGTGTTATTTGAAGGGGTAAGCAGAGGTTTAAGTGTTAGATAATAAATAATTTATTTTAATTTTGCTTACATTGACTACAGCTTTTATTAAGTGACCGATAGTTCTTGATTGATTTCTTGCCAAAAAACCCTAATATCATTATACTAGTAATCCGCCCGGCTTCACACGGGTGCAATATGCATGTATTATATATACATATAGATCGTCCTTAAAAATCACACTATCTATAAAAAAACCGCATCAAAATCCGTTGCGTAGGTTTAAAGATCTAAGCATACATAGGGACAGACAGACTCGATGACGACACAAGAAGAAATTACAATACATTTTCTATATTGTACTCAATATGAACTTTCATTCATACATACTGTCAACAACCATATTAGATACTCGTCACGTCAATACTAATATAGATGGGACCATGTTTACTAATGTTATGATTGTTAAGCATTCATTCTTTCTAGTAGGTCCATGTCAATGTTAGGGAGGTCCTGTCCATATTAAATTGGTTACTTGTAATGTCTACTGTCACTTTCTCTTAAGTACCTAGGAATGGTAGAAAAGAGAGCTTGCGTATTAAAGGTTTGGTATAAATCTAAGTTATGGTTGTTAATGGTAATCTTAAAAAGGTGCATTATAGCTGTATGACAGTTAGATCGATACTTTTGTACTTAAATAGACGATTAAAATAAAACTGTGTTTAAAAAAACCGGCTTCAAAAACTACAAACTAAAAACCTAACACTAAAAACCCAAAAATATCTGTTATTCATTGATCTGCCTACCCATTAATGGTTTAGAAATCGGTGCCTGAAGTCCCGAACAAAAGTACGTTAAAACCAAAGTTGATACCTTTTTTTAAGGGGGAAAATCATTCAATGACTTCTCCCGCCTTGGGTTGGCGAGAGGGAGTGTCAGACTCTTACTGACTAAAAACCACCCCGTTCCGACTCCTGCTTTTCGAGGCGGAGCCCCGGCAACCCGTTAGGTCTTCCACGGCTAGTAGAAACCTATGTTCATTAAGTTGTTTACAATTATGTAGGTATTGTATTGGTAAGTTATATTTTACTACGAGCACATATTATTGTATTATAAGTATTGTAAAAATTTTCTAAGTTTATCTAAGCTACGCAACATATCGCTAGTTCTATTCCCGCATGAAACAACGTAGTGTATGATCTATAAGTGTGCCTGTGATTTCTATTTATGTTTGTAATCGCACCCACGCAAGCCACCGAACAAATCCCAATGCGAAAACAGTTAAAAAAAAAGAAAAATTATAAGACAAGATAGACAACAACCATTCACCCAGCATTTAAGTTTACTGTCCAGTCACAGATAAAATAGTCTACAATTAAATTCAACAATTTATACCTTGACCTTGCAATTAAAATCTAAAAAAAGTAAGAAAAAGTCAGTGCACTCGTTTTAAATGCACACTCACGCGCACATGTCTACACGTCAGTAAATGATACGGTAAACCCAGACTGACATCCAGATCAACCGATTTACATATACAAGTCTAGAATCGATTATCGTTTCGAATCGATTAAAATTTATACCGATTCTTATTTGAATTGAATTAAGTGTCTATGGGAATTTGTTGTCGTAAAGGATGGTAAGTGAAGGTCAGTAGAGGTCATTCGGGTATTTTGAAAGAAATTTACTCTTGATATTTTGTGGCTTCGATTCCGATTTGCAGCAAATATTTGTCTAATCTGTCAATATTTACTCCGGATCTGGGTGTGATGTGTGCGTGAAATTGCCGTTTGTAAATACACCCACGATACTTACAAAACATTTTAACCTGCAATAATATTTCTGTATCTATAATATAAATAAACTTTTCTTAAAAGATCTTAAAATATTTTGGCAACTTTAATATCTATATAATATCAATATATATTATATTTTAATTGTACAATATATCACAAAAATATATTCGAATATTCTTAATCTTTCTTTCTATCAGGAAGTCTGCTATTTAATACAAATAATAAGATGAATGCAACAAATTACACAAAAATCGGTGCAAATTTAAATCGATATAATTCCTAATCGCATGACATAATCGGTTCATAAATCGAAAAACGTCAACATTAGCTTATGACGTAAAAGATTCAATAAATAGTTTCTTAATTAAAAATGAAAAAGTGAAAGTAATAATAATTAATTGCTTCCGATGTTTTTATGATTTAACCATAAATATGTTAACATCGGTTCTACAAATTAATTAAAAAATAATGTAACATTCGCTATTTAGTTCTAAGTTAATGATATATTATATCTTGAAAATAATCCACTTAATTTTGATACTGTCAAAATATATGGTGAATTTATTTATTTTATGATTTATTATACTTCCTTTTCAATGATAAACGTAATGTTACTCATGTTATGTATACTTAAAAGGGATACAAGAAAGACATACTTTCATTGAAGCTACTTTTACTGAGATATGTCCTTAGACAATAACCTACAGCGATTTACAGCGCCATTTTCTAATTTCTCAATGACCTACTTATGATTCCTAAATCATACACTAAGCGTACAACGTATCGCCGGCACGATTTTCGCACGGAGCAACTCTTTGTGCGATCCACAAATTGTTGTTGCAGGTCTGGGCGTCATGTGTATGTGAACTTAAATATTTGTAAACGCACCCACGACCCTAGTGTGGGGCAACGTTTTATAAAAACAAAAATAACAGAAGACGTATTCCTACTGATGTTCAGAAGCCGCGAAGAACCTAACGGGTTACCGGGGCTCCGGCTCGAAGTGCAGGAGTAGGAACGGGGTGGTTTTTAGTCAATAAGAGTCTGACACTTTCTCCCGCCTGGGTGAGGCGGGAGAAAGTGTCAATCGATGATCTTCCCCCCTTAAAAAAAACTGATGTTCAGAAAATAGTACATTGTGGACAAAGATTAATCATTTATTGTGTCTATAAATAATTGTTTACATAATTTAATATATTTAACAATAGCTTTTACCCGCGGCTTCGCTCGCGTCACAAAAGGATAAAAAGTAGCCTATGTGACATATACCAATACATACAGCGCCATCTATACCAATACTTTTGTTTTCCCTCGGGAATATCAAATTTTTTCGGGATAAAAAGTACCCTATTATTTAATCCAGACTACTAACTTTACGTCTGCAAAAATTCAATGTAATCGGTTTAGTAGTTACGGCGTGAAGTCGGAACAAACAAACAAACAAACATACTCACTTTCCGATTTATAATATTAGTAAGGAAGTAGTTTTGACACTTTGGCATTATCTTTATTTTACTATTGTTACCACTGTTACATATATTTTTGCATAGAAAAGACATTTACGTTGTTATTTCTGTCAAAATTTTCCATTGCACTTTTAGACTGATGAATTATTTAATTCTTTTGTAATTTATACTAAAATCGAGTGATACTAATATTTTAGCAAGTTTAACTACTTTTTGATAAGTTACAAAAACTTATGAATAAAATATGAACGAGTATTGCACTATCAAGATGTAGTTATAACCACACCTATTGGTAAAAGTATTTTTTAAGGCACATCAATATTAATCCAATGAATAGTTTTTTTTTAAATTAAGTCACGGCAGGGTGTAAAAGTTACATGTATTTCCTCTGTGTTTATCTCAAAACAGATTTGTCTTAACCCTTTGTGTACCGTCATTTTAGACACAATTAAAGAACAAAAGGTTGCGGTCACCGGTGTCCTCGCGGTGTTTGACAGTTTAATATTTTGGTTTATTTATTTTAATACGGTATTTGACAACTAGTTAAATTCAATACGTTTATCGAAACGTCAAAAACGATACTGTTCTATGAATTTTGTACGAAATACTAGCTTATGACGTCATCATATTTTCACGTCAAATAGCACACTTATATCTGAAGAAAATGCAAGAATAAATCGAAAATCAAGTATATCGGCAAATCAATGAATGAAAGTGTTGAACTATTGTTCAATATTTAATTGGATTGAAAAATCAAAATAACTTATTTTTGACCCAGGCAACTACCCAATTTTTGAACGATTAGATATTCGTGCTAGAGGTAATGTTTTGAAGGTAACTTTTGCTTTTCACAAGTACCTATTGTTTTTCTTCTAGACAAAATATTTACTTCTTAAAAAATGTTATTTATATAGTTTTAACCCAGTTTAGCATCAGTAGAATCTTCCGTTTAT